CAAATTTGCACTCACAAAACCTTTCTTGTCCTTCAGGCGTTGTTTATGGTCCAAGTACTTAAAATTCAAAAAATGAATGAAAACCAGAGATACAATCTTCTGAATTTTGGTTTTCTAAGTTAGCTTTTTTCCTCCAACCGAAAAAAAAGAAGAAGAAGAAGAAGAAAGAGAGTTAGCTGTTTCTAAAGCTTATTACTACCATGCTAATTTGTTAGAAGTTCATTACCAGACTTATTCAGAGGGAGGTAACAATTTAATTATTCCCTTTTCTTAAAGTGAATATTTACAAGGTTCAGGAACAAATATTTGAGAAATGATGAGTAATGTGATTCATATAGAAGCAAATAGTTATTCCGTTTATCTTTCCTAGAATAAGGATTTGACAAAATTACCTGAGGGGAAGGATAGATGGTGAAACCAAGTTTTGATTTCTTTCCATAATCAACTGACAAACGTTCCAAAAGCAATGAGCCCAAACCAGAACCAGTTCCACCACCAACAGCATTAAATACCAAAAATCCTTGCAAACCAGTACAGTTGTCAGCCAATTTTCTTACTCGGTCAAGGCAAAGATCAACAATCTCCTTTCCAACTGCAGTATACAACAGAAAAGACGTGTAAATAATCTGTCTTAATAAGATTGCGACTCTAATATACAGAACAGATATAGAAACCTGTATAATGCCCTCTTGCAAAGTTATTAGCAGCATCTTCCTTGCCAGAAATAAGTTGCTCAGGATGAAAAAGTTGTCTGTAAGTTCCAGTTCTGACTTCGTCAATGACAGTGGGCTCCAGATCGACAAAAATAGCTCTAGGCACATGCTTGCCAGAACTAGTCTCACTGAAGAAGGTATTGAAGGCATCATGTGCAACACCTACAGAGGTATCACTGAAAGTGAAATAAAAAAAGATTAAGATTTGAATAAGAAGAGATAAAAATGGAAACATTAAAAAATTAGCAGATCCAACCCTGAATCAATTTCATGGTACAACTGTTCAGACACTTTACCTCAGAAAGATTGCTGATTAAAAAACTTTTAACTCTGAAAAATTAGCAGCAGATTGAACCCAAAACATAGGTAGGACAAACCAATTTGCTAAGCACAAAGATCCACCTATGATAGATTAACCAAGTGTTTTTAAACCAGTGGAAAGCCAAAATCATGGCTCTTTTTCTTGCCCCATAATGATATGCACATTATAGCTACAAATGGAAGTTCAAGTTACCCACAAGTATAACACTAGCCCTAGCAGATGACAATATCTATTACACCACCATTAGCCCAAAATATTACAACAATAATATGTATGGCATGTTTTAGCTAGCAAAATCCGGGAAATAACATGCAAACTACAAACATTATAAATTGAAATATAACCATAAAGGATTTGGAACGTTAACAAAGGTAATAGAGTAAAGAGTGCCCTGCAATTCAGTAGTTCCGAAAAGAAAAAAGAATATGAAGAAACAAATTATTTCACCCCCTCCCCTTCCTTCTTTTTTTTTTTTTTTTGCCATAAATAATTTTTTACCCTGAAGTAAGAAAAGAATCCAAATTTAATGAATAAGCCATCCAATTCAACTAAATCATGAGAAAGTGTTTGTTGATCTTCATCTTCCACAACACTAGAATATCATGGGTTCAAACATTAATTGTTAAAACTTTTTTAGAATGACATTTAATCTTTATAATCACAAAAAAAGACTGTAAAGTTCAACACAACAAAAGAATGATGATCTACCGATTCATTAAATTCAAACAAATCATCCAAATTCTCTGACATCCATCTCAATCGATCCAAATTGTCCATTTTCTATCCTACACTTTACCTTAATTTAAACGAAAATTTTCAACAAAACACATGGAGAAAAGAAACCCAGATCTAATCAGTCAAAGAAGATCTAACCCCAAGACAAAAATGACGATCACGCCATCATCCACATTACCCAGATAAGAAAACACAGATAAAAGATATAAATTTGTACCTGGGCATCATCCCATCAGGCTGAATTTCATGTTCAAGGCAGTAGAGCTCCCAACAGGCATTACCCACCTGAATCCCAGCTTGTCCAATATGAATACTTATCACCTCTCTCATCTTTCTCCCGATTTACCACTCTTTGAACGAAAATGGGTGTCTGTATGTCACCTTGCAGCCTCTCTTCCGCGATCCCTCTTTGCGGAAATGGGTATGGAATCGGGTAATGTAGGAAACAGGAAAGGGGTAATGTAGGAAACAGGAAAGCAAAGAGGAGAGAGTATTGAATTATTGATTGTAGTTTGACTGTCGAGGAGTGGGTGTCAAAAGAGTATCGAAAGTACTTGATATTAGAAAAATTTTTTTTTTTTTTGTCTTTTGTGGCACTTCTTACAATTAATTTTTATTAAAAAAAATAAAAATTGATAATATAACAAAGTAATTTATTATATTTTTT